GCAAACAACAAGACAGTTTAGCACATGATGGACAAAGACCATTGCTGTCTCCTTATTCCTCCTGAATGATTTTTCTGTAGTTTAGATTTTTTACTGGCCTCATCACTGCTGGTAGCATGAGATGGTGGCAGGCCTCAGGTTGCACAGGTAGTCCAGCTTCTCCAGGATGGGACATCGCAAGATGATTTTTTTTTCACCAGGGAGTTGCCTTCCCAAACCATCACTGATCCACTCTCAAACAGTGGCAGGATAACAGTGCCGCAGACAACATAGCACTCTCCACAGCTTCTCCAGACACTTGCAAATCTGTAACCCATGTTCACTGTGAATCTGCTCTTGTCTGTGAAAACAACGGGGCACCAGTAGGAGGACCTGTCAGTTCTGGTGTTTTCTGGCAAGTGCTGCTTGCCGCTGTGAGTGCATGGCCCTCATATCATCCTCATGACGTCTGTTTCTGATTGTTGGTCAGAAACATGCTCACTAACAGCTCGCTGGAGGTTGTCTTGCTGCTGGATTGATGTTCTTCTACTGAACTGTCCACCTTTGCTTGTGTGACAGCCCATCCCCTGATTATCTCCTCCACTCTTGAAAATGTGCTGTAAGACATAACAAACTGTTTTGTCTTGTCCTGGAGGAGCTGCTCTACCTGATCATTCTGAATGGTCTGCAGGTCTCCAGCACTGCAGCAATGACAAGGACACTAACACAAAGCTAAACTAGAGAGAAATCAGTCTGCTAAACAGTTAAATTAAATTAAAGCGGCTGAAATGGATTCAGGGTGGTTTCTGCTTCCTAACTGGACGCACTGATATCCCTGAAGTTTAACTGACTTTGTGTTACACTGTGGAAATTGTTTAAATTTGCAACCCTGTGAACGCTCCAGTTTTTTCCAGGTTCCTCTCATATTTTAAATCCATCTCATTATTTCCTATTTTTGTTTTATTTGTTTTTTCCCTTGGAAACTTGTGTAAAACTTGTTTGCATGGCCCTTAAACTTTATTATGAATACTTTAAGCACATGTATGAATGATTTTTTTTTAATGTTAGTCAAACATTCTGATGTATTAATGCAGCTATGCATTTATCCACTGCACTAACAGATTACATCAAGTAGAATAACATCAGGCATTAGCTCTGAGTACCATGTTTGTAGGGTTGATGGACGTGTTGACAGATGAGGTCAGTTTGTTTGCAAATGACACTGTGACCTGTAGTGAGAGTAGAGAGCAGGTGGAAGAGAGCCCAGACAGGTGGAGGTGTGCTCTGGAGAGATGAGGGATTAAAATCAGCACAAGCAAGATAGAATATGTGTGTGTGAATTAGAGAAAGGGCCAAGTGGAAAAGTGAAGGTAGATGAGTTTAAATACCTGGGGTCTATCATCTAAATCAAAGGAGTGGGTGGGGCGAGTCTCAGGGAGAGGGTTCATGGACGTAGTGAAGAAGGGGTTGGGGTTGGATGTGAGGCAGGATTTGGTGAGCTGCAAATAACAGGAAGTGAATTACTGTTGTACTAAAACGTGTCTCTGTGCTGTGTGTTAATGCCAGCTGGGAATGGAGGACGAGGACGTCATCGAGGTGTATCAAGAACAGACTGGCGGACTTTGGAACAATTAAACCTCCCACATTTCTAAATCCTTTTATTTCTTCCTCCTCTTTTACTTATTTTGTATTTTATTTTGTATGTATGTACGTATTTTTGTTCAGTTTCAAACCATCTGGATCAAAACGGACTCAATTAGGGCTTCCATGTGTGTGTGGGCAGGCAGGCGAACATGCCGAGGACATGGACTACCGGTTCTCTGAAGTGCAGGGATGAATTCAGCCCACATTTACCAAGAAAAACGTTCTTTTTCCTGCCTGTTTTTAATCATCCATGTAGTTATTTCAGAAGAAATAAATGATCCTATAATAAGCAGCTGCAGTAAAAGGATTAGTTCACCCAGAATAAAAAGGTTTGCTCTGTTTCAGTTCACCCTTCGAGTTTCAGGTTTCCTTGTTAATCACTATTTTCAGTACCCGCTGTTTTTTTTTTGTTCGGTGCCGATGACGGTATGGGATTTTTATAGTTTGAAAGTTTGAGTTGATCTTCTTCTTTTGAATGTGCCCCACCTCTTTACCAAGATAGATTAAATATAACTCCTCCTGACAATAAAAGGTTGGAGCAAGCTGTCAGGTTTAGCAGGACGGTTTGTTTCTGATCGTGCTGAAAATGGCCGATTTGAGGTCTTCTGCTATTTGCCTTCTATAATCCAGTAAACATGGATCTTTGGAGTAAAAAATTTGCCTATATCCTTTATATTTGTACACTACACAGTACATACACAAGCAGTTTATTTGGGTTATATTGGAAAGGAAACTAAATATTGGGGTTGTAGCCACCATGGGATCACCTGTTTTTTTGAAGTTTCAACATTTCATCTGCTGTTATGTTTTTCTTTTTGAGCCAGAAGTGGCCGTATTTGGTCGATGGGGTGGAGTACCATATCCTCAGTTTGGTTAGGAAGCTGAAACAGATATGCTGTATTAACACCTGGCATTAACATGCGACCCACATCTGGTTGCTGTCACTCACAACAGCTCAAGTTATGATTGAATTATAATCATGATCATTTAATACAGTATCTCATCTATTTGTTTAACTTTTAAGACAAATCTTATCTATTTTTTTTTGTTAAAACAGTCAAATTCAAAAATGCAGAATTTGGTTTTCATCACCAGGGGGCAGCGTTTTATTTCTTTTTAGTCCTATCACCATTTCCTCAGAGGCTTTCTCTGTTTGTTAAGAAAAATGTTTTCTTAATAATTTGTCTGACTAAACAAAGGTCACACTGACTCACTGCACCCATATTGTGGTAGAAACTGGTATAACGTCAAAGTACAGCTCAGCCCTAGTTCAGCCTGAGTTGACATCTCATAAACACAACATGCAGGACTTGTTTCTTTACATTCTGAGGGAGCTTTTGGGTAATTTTAAACACAATAATTTAAATTAACCACCTTTAAAGGGAAATTATGAGGCTTATGAAGCAGGCCACATGTTTTGGGGATCTTTCACTGTGTGGAAAACAGACATGATGTTCAGCATCTGTTGGATGATTCTGTACTTGTGAAGCACCTGAGAAACCCACAAAAACCCTATTTTGGAGAAACAGGTGGTTGCTTTTGATCCTGGTCGTCATGTTTATTAGAAGCCATAATTCTGGATTAATTTGACAGCTGTACAGACCTCCCGTTTGTGGCTCTATACTTTCGTAGGACCCCTTGTATTAAAATGATTTATTTTTTATGTCCAGTACATGCAAATTAATGAGGCTGGGTCAGCCATCTTTTCGTCAGGCTTGCTTGAGCTGCGGTAGAGCCATTAAATATTTGTCCTTTTCGATTGTAGCTGAGATTAAAAGTGAGCTCACCTGTCGATGCCCGGTGTAAGCGTGGTGATAGTCAGGGATTTCTGGATGAACTCTTCCTTTTAAGCTTTCATTTTCATGTTTGGGGAGAAAAGAAACAGGTTAAACATTTCATTCCACATGTTTTGTGTGACATTCAGGGCTCATAAACAGCTGGATTAGTGGACAGTCCACCATAAGAAGTGGACAACATAAGAGTTTATGTTGATCATCCTCTGTGTGCCATGTTTCTTAAACTGCACCATATTGTAAGATGATAATAACCAACCTGAAATGAAACTACTTCAGATTTGAACCCATTTTTAAAGGACTTGCTCTTTACGTGTATATGTTGTATTCAGTATTAGTGTGTGTGAATGATATGCCATGTATATCTCCAGTGTCTTTATTTTAATATGTTTGAGGGTTTCATTCTGTAATTATGTATGAAAATATAAACCTGTTATAGACACGTTTCAATCGCTGACAGTCACAGAGATTTTTGAAGTCCTCTGGCAGTTTTGTGCAAAGAAAGGTCTTCTGCTGTGGTGTCGGCGCGTGTTTTTAAAGCTTTGCTTTCCTGGTTTTGGAGTGAAACTCTTAATCTGTGTACTGTATGAAGTTCCTCCAGAAGGTAAACGCAGCCCCAGAGCTCTGGCTCACATTTAAATCAGGTTAAAGCAGCATCTCAGAGTTCATAGTAGGAAAAACAACGTTAAATAAAGTAATGATCAGTGGCTGTCATTTCCCAGAGGTGTGTGCATAAAAAATAAAAAAAAATAGGTAGATAAGATTTTCTCAACCTGGCCGGCTGTTTGAAATTTGTCCTTTTTGTGCATTGGTGATATATCTGCTCCACCCAAACTCCACCCAGACGTACAGGGCTGTGATTTGAGCCATAACCCGATCTCGGTGAGGTGAAGGGACTGTCCGACACTCGAGGAACATTGATACAGATGGTTTGAAATTCTGGAGATGAGCTTTTGGCTTTTTTTTGAATAAAATATTTAAAAACAAAACTTTGGTGTGTTGCATGTTTTTGTGTGTGTGTGTGTGTGCGTGCTTACTTTATGCACTTGTTGTAGTCCAATAATTTAAAGTGGTCCTGTTATGCTTTTCGTATAATATTTGTCCTGTTCCAGATGTTCATACTGAGCAGTGGATCAGTGAACTCACTACATCCTTTAAGAGCCAGATACAAATTGAGCGAGCCCATTAGAAAACCCATTATGTCACAAATATGCTGTGTGACTGGGTGCTTGATTTTATGGCAACAGTTCTTAATACCAAATAGGTGAATCTCAATACTTTTGTCCAGAAAGTGTAGCTGCACCAACTGATGAAAACAAATGTGTTTAATATCAAATTAAATGTAAAACTTACCCAATTAATAAGTCATTTTGCATTTTTCTTATTTTTATATTTCATTGTAATAATGAGGTTAAAATTTAATATTTTTATTTATACGCTTGAATTTTATTTTTATACTTTTACATTTTATAATTAAAAGATATAGTTTTTAGTTTAGAATTTTCAGTTGTAAGAATACCTTTTTTAAAATAATTGTGAGTTTTGTAAACTTGGATATTGTTGTTGTTTTTTTTTCTTTTATATTTATAATTTACACTTTTAAAATTTGTATTTTGCATCATGCTTGCATGATATTTGTATTTATTGTAATTTAGCATTTTGTTTTTAGACTTTTTAATTTTAGGAATTTTTAAATTTTATTTTCTGCTTTAAATTTTTATAATTGCCATTTTCTTTATATCTTTAGTAAAAATATTTAAAATAGTATGCCATATTTTTTTATATTTTTGCATTTCATTTTTTTTTATAGTTTTCTGTTTTAGTTTTTTACTTATTTATTATTTATAAAAAAAATATTGCATTTTATCATGTACTTTATCATTTCCCAATTTTTTAAAAACATTTTATATTGTTTATTGTTGTAATTTACCATGTACTGTACCAATGTTCTTTGTTTTAAGAATAAAATTAGGAACAAAAGCTTACATGACAAAAGCATGAAGGGAAGTAGAAAAGGTCAGATACTGACTGAGCAGAAGGAAACCAGTAAAAATCATTTGTATTTACAGTCAAGAATAAAATATTAAGAGGGTTAAATAGCAAACTGTTTTAGACCTTTGAAGAGCAGTGGTGGGAATTTTCCCGTTTGAGACAAAACAACCACATTCATCGACAGCACAGCTTACAGATGGGACACTTAGTGCCTTTCTTGTGACTCATGTTTGTGTTTAATTTATTGATGAGCTGTTTTCAGAAATCTGCAGATTAAAGGTATCCTGTACACACAGACCTCTGTCACAGTATTCTCATTTTCACATTTACTTCAGTCGAGGTGCAATAAAACATTGAAAATGTGACGTAATCTGAAAAGGAAGTGTAATAAAATAATTTCAGCACACAATTTATTCACACTGTGTAACATTTACATTCAGCTATTTAGCAGATGAGCGTTATTAACGCATCAATGCAGTTTTTAAAGTAGCTTAACAGCTTTTGTCTATACAGTGAACATGAAGGGGGATTTTTTGGCTCCAATTTTAAACCATAAGTTAGAGAGTTGTCTGTTTTGTAAGAAACATGTTATCTTCATTTTCCTGCTTCTCGGGCATATGAAGGTGAGGGCGTTATGGGTGTTTGCTGTCAGCAGATGAGTCATCCTCCTTGAGATTATAAAACTAGATGAGTCACTGTAAACATTTGAGGAGTTAAAAGGAAGAAACGAGTGTAAAGTCTGTGCAAAAACCTTTTTTTGTCCATTTTATCACACACAAACTCCTCACAAGTGTTCCTGAAACTCAAATGTGGGGTTATCTTCCCCCCGGGTGTCATTTTCCTGGTGCACCTGCTCTCTCAGAGGCCTCTCTGGTAATCGATATGTGCAGAAAATAATCCCAGAGACAATCATCAGGACCGATCCCGCCATCCCGACGCCAATGCCGCCTCCCACGTGCTGAGATTCAGGTGCTGGGGGGAGTTTAAACTCGGGCGGGAACTCGATGGTCTGATTGGTCACCACAGCGCTCAGATTCCAGAGGAGAGGCACGAGCGATATCGCAGCAGCGAGGAGGCACAGCACTCCCGTGAGGATGAAGCCGCGGCGGACCGTAGAGCTCTTACCTATCCCAAAGTAGACGATCCTCATGGAGTAAACACCACTAGCGTTCCCACAAACCCCCACCAGCAGAGACAGGAGCATGAGGACCTGACCTGCAGCAATCTCAGGTGGCGTGAAGGAATCGGTGAGGATGATGTATCTGCAGTACATAACCTTGAAGCCCTCGCTCACCACGGTGTGGCTGGCGAAGCAGACCCTCCAGAGTCCGACCCATGCCACACCGGAGGTGATCACCGCCCTGTCCGATACCTGCCACACCCTCCACTGGATCAGTCCAAGAGCCACACCGGTGAGCATCCATCCCAAACAGGCCAGCCCGAGAGCACCAAACTGGGCGTGGCCTGTGTGAGCCAGGTAGGTCATAGCAGTGGATTTCCTGATCCTACTGAAGGTGTCAACAGGAGACCGAACACAGGTGGAAGGTGGGCGATGTCACCTCTGTCATGTTTTACTCTTCTGTGCTCCAGCACAGTCTTGCTGTTGTTCTGTTCTCGTCTCACAAGTCGTCAGTTATTTCCCTCCTTCGTCTCCTGGGTTACCTCCTAAACAACCACCTGCAGCTCCCTCTGAGAGGAAAGAAACACAGACACAGCTGTTAGTGAGCAGCAACAAAGCACCATCAACAAAGACTACAGGGCAGCATTTCAATTGGACTGTCTTCCTCTTCACCATCTCAGTGCAGACATACTTCCTATAAATACCATATGTACTTCCTTTTTAAGTAGCCTGTAGGTATTTTTATTTAGTATCTCTATGTGAAAATTCTTCAAAGTTATCTTAATATATTAGACTGTTAGTTTTGTATCCTTCACTTTTATTTTAAGAAAGATTTCCTGAAGTGTTAAATTGCCTGGACATATGTTGTTATTTACCGAAACATGCCCATGCATGCATGTAAATACAGTATATAAGTTAAAAACAGAGTTTGTACAATTCTAACAAACTTAAAAGTCATTATTTGGTGTGACCACCTTTATTCTTCAACACAGTCTGAACTCTCTTAGGCAGCTTTCGTGTCATGTCTTCAAGTCGTCTTCAGGAATATTTCTCCAGGCTTCTTGAAGGACATTTAAAGCTCTTCTTCTTTCTGCCTTTTGTTCTGTTCTCTGTCAACATGATCCCACACTGCTTCAATAATGTTGAGCTCCGGGCTCTGGGGAGGCCAATCCATGACTGATAGTGCTCCACTGTGTTTTTTGTCTATCCAGGTATGATTTTACTGCATTGGCAGTGTGTTTGCAATCATTGTCACGTCATTAACAAGATCTCCAACACCACTGAAATGCAGCTCAAACCATGAAAGAGCCTCCACCATGTTTTGTAGATGCCATTGTAATTTTAATTTGGCATAGCTCAGCCTTTTCTGTCTCTCTTCTCTTCCTAAGAATGGCTTCTTGACAGCCATCGATCCACTAGGACTGTTTTTCCTGTTTCTAAAGACGTCACTTTCAGATACTGTTCATCTGCTGTAGATACATAAAATCATAGCTGTTCTTTTGGTAACTTTAGTTAATTTATATACTATAGACAGCGATAAGTACCTTTGAATTTCACTGGGCCCCATTTAAGCCCACTGTTAACGTATGCAAATATGCAGTCTTATGAGCATACATGGTGAGAAACAGCTTTACAGTGTCCAGGTGCTGTTTTATGATTATTCACAGAGTTGTTTGACTTCCATAAATGAATTTGACAATGAAGCTAAGCACACAGTCAAATGTACATAATGACCTATGTCATCTCTGTCTGGTTTCTGACACCAACTAAACTGCTATAATTTCTTTGTTTAGCTTCCACTTTTTAAAGGAATTAACTGTGTTTCTGTTTCTCCTCTAACAACTAAAAGAGTTTTAGATAATGCTTCAAGGCTTTAAATCTAACACCACAGACATTATGTGTATCTCGCCTTTTGTAATATTAAACTAAAACTAAAGGAACTTTCTACATGATGGAAAAGAAAGAAAACACACACCATTTTCTCTCAGTATTGTTGAAATGAACTTTCAGCCCTGCAAATTACCCTCACTGATGTTACCGACACTTGTTCCTCATATCTATTATACACAGCATGTGATGAAAGCAAGTTTTGAAGACATCAGGTCATTGAAATCCATTTAAAAAACTGCAGCGTTTAAAGAGAAACTCTTGGTTTTGTTACATACCTGAGTGGTGCTTTCGTGGAACACCTCCCAAGTCGCCTTCAGAGAAAGAAAACCAGACTAAAACTGCCAAACAGGAAGGCTTTTTTCATTCACAGGTACCCTGCAGCACTTCCTCATCGTGCACCGGTAACCTGGATACAGCTTCTGGTCATGATTGCGAAGCTGTAAATGGTTGACAGAATAAAAGTTTAGATGTACCGCTGTTACTGGTCAAGTCATTTTAGTCTTTGTCCTTTCAGATCATTTCACAGCTCTTTGTTGGGGCTTTTTTGTTATTTTTGAAATGTCCTGTCTTATTTAGGATGACTTGCAGATTTATACATACTGGGAAATTCATAAAGGTTTGTGCTGAAGTGTTTCAGTTCAGCTCTTTAAATGAAAACAATTCAGAGTAAAAATGTTTGCTAAATGAGTCTTTTAGAAGTGTAAATATGCAGCAAAGGTCTTGAGTCACAACAGTGAGTGTCTACAGCCATCTGTAAAACGAGGTGGAGGCTCTGTCATGGTTTGAGCTCCATTCCAGTCAGTGGTGTTGGAGATCTTTTCCAAAACTGATGAATTATGAACTCAGAAAAGTCCCATTAGAATTTGACCCACCATGAAAAACCATCTGGACAGAATCTGATTGGTCACAGCTTCATTTTCCAGCATGACAATGACGCTGTGTCACAGTTCTTGTCATTTGCCTAGTGTTTTTAAATTATAAACTCCAAGTTTATGTTGTTATTTGCTTTATGTTTTGGGGTTATTTTTTTGGTTTTGGTTTTTTTTGCCTCCTGCTTATAGTTGTGATTATATTTTCATGTAGTTTCCATCCTCTTGTGTCACTTTCTTTGTATTAAGTTCATTTGTATCTGCATTTCCCCGTTTTATTCTCTCTTCTCACTTCCTGCTTTGTAAGATAAGATAAGATACCTTTATTAGTCCCACGAGTGGGAAATTTCTTTATTTTGATAGTTACTTCATGTTAGCTTCAGTTTGAACGTATTCTTTGTCAGCACGTTTGGTTTTCCTCCCCATGATATTCTTAGCTATTTTTGTATCTGGTTTCCCGCTCTTGTGTTTTTGGATTTTGCCACTTTTCATACATGTTTTTCTTTTGGACTGTTTCCTCTGTTGTTTATCAAAGGTATGCTTAAAGTTTTTCATTTGACCTACCAGTAATTTCAGTCTGCATTTAGGTGTCCTCTACTCACACACACCAAGACACTTGGATTGGCCTCCCCAGAGCCCGGACCTCAACATTATTGGAGCAGTGTGGGATCATGTTGACAGAGAACAGAACAAAAGGCAGAAACATCCAAAGAAGAGCTTTGAAGCTCAGACTTTGCTGAAAAATAAAGGTCAGCATACCAAATATTGACTTTCAAGCTCAGTAGAATTGTACAAACTTTTGTTTTTTGACCCATATACTGTATTTACATGTATGTTTGCACATTTCAATAAATCCTGCACTTATTTCCCATTTTCCTTGCAACATATAAAGAAATGATGGATGGTTCAAGAATTTTGCGCATTACTGTATCTCCTAAGCATAGCACCACACTGATCAGTACCACTACTTGAACATTATTATTCTCTTCTCTTCCCTTTAAATACATTTTAATGACATGGAGACGTGATGAAGACGATGATTTCTTCTGTTTAATGGAGGGGAGGTTTAATCCAGAGCCTTTCTCTTTCTTTTCTCTTTCCCAATAAGAAGAGAGAGATCAGAGCAACAGCAGGGAGGACTTACAGTAAAGTCGAATCTCTGGGCTTGACTATAGCAGTGACTCATTCACAGCAACATTACTGACCTTGAACCATCCCCTGGCTGTGCTGTCTTACACTCGGGCTGACTTCCCATGATGCACTGAGATATTTTCCTCCACTCCTTTACTGCAGGTCGTTAACTTTAGCCGACTCTCTCCTGAGTGCTTTGTCCTGAGTTTTTTGTTGGTGATCTCTCAGATGGCCGTCCCTCCCTGTGACTGCTTCTGTTCTGGTAAAAAGGAGTCCTTACTCCCTGCTGTCACCAAGTGCTGCTGATTATTGAGGCTTCTTTCTCATATGTACCTCACAATATGAAGCTTGTGCAACGTGCTATAAATAAAAGTGAACTAAGGTGAAGGGGTCTGGGAAGGAGAAAAAAGCTCTGATCCCTTAGAGACGATAAAAGACAGGAGTGGCTGTGAAACGTCACAGTGCAAAGCTATAAAAATGGATAATATATAATATTTGAAACACTGAGTAAACAACAGATAAAGACACCTTCTTT